GGTTCATGACCAATTTGGTTCGCAACCAGAGTCGCAGAACGAATTAAGTTCGTGAACCGAGGTACCACTGTATTTGGAAAGGAGACCATGCATTCCAGATAACCTGGTTCTTTTTTTCTTTAATGAACCCCCTACTTGGGATCCTTCCTGGACCCAAGGGGGACCTCTTTTCTCTTGAAGATGATGGTAATCATGACTGCTGGAGAAGGTAGAAGAAAAATCTGCCTCTCTGGTTGATAGCTTCAAACACTCACGAGCAATTTTCTAAATAGTAAACACTATAGTGTTTTCAAAATGTAGGGATACATAAAGCAACTTTCTTCACTTATGTTTATAAAATGCCACTTTCCCTGCAGTGGGAAATTTGCATTCAGTTAAATACAGGGCAAAAGTACTCAGGACAGTTGACAATGTAAATCTTCATCCTATCACTTTCCTAATTTCTTGAAGAAAAGAAGGGACTCTATTCTTACAAACCATGTCTAGGGCTCAGAACCTCAGCCTTTCTATTTATCTAGAGATCTGTTGATTAAAAGCAAACCCATTGCAAACCATTAGTAACTTTTCTACTAATCTTTCTGCAGATCTTTCCTAGATTGAAACACCTATTTTTAAATGCATTCATTTTCCTGTTCTAGGGTTTTATTTCTATGAGAATTATAGATCTTCCTCATTTCATACACTTTCAGTTTCAGAAACAATATGTTTATGCAGATTTTCCCTGTCATGAAACCAGGATGTGTTACATGTTAAGTTATTTGCCTGATAGTAATGAAGGAGAAATAAAAATGAGATAGGTTAAAGCAACAGGTAAAAGCTTCTTATATCATCTATTCTGTGCTAAATTATCAGAAAGCCATCAGATGTCAGAAAAATAAAAAGAAACAAGAGTCAAGTTTTGAATATTTATTCCTCATAATATGATGGACAGAGGAAGTTTAAGTAGGAAGTTGTGTCTTTTATGTACCCTTATGACCCTTATCTCTGTATGAATGTGAGAAAGAAAATGTATTGTGTGTTATGGAACATTTTGCATGAATATGGAGTTTATTTAGCTGTATGTATCTCCTTTCATTCAGGAACTCAAGGCATGACTGATGGTTGGTTGCAGAATGCAATAAGAGCAGCATATAAAGGAATAAAACATGCACAATAATAAATGATATACTTAGCAAATGGTTCAATATTCAGCAGAGACTAAAGCAAGAATGTATGATGTCCCCTAGGTTGTTTATAATATTTATGAATAAATGTATAAGGACTGCTTATGGTAACATTAGATATGCATTGGTTAGGGACATGAATATATGCATACTTTTATATGCAGATGTTAGACAAGACCCCTGATGATTTGCACTTAATGTTAACTTGTATGATGAAAAAGGATATTGAAAATAAATGTATCAAATGTCAAAGTAGTTGTATTTGACAGGGTTGAATGATTTCACATTATATGGCAAAACATATATAGTGAGTAGATGAATTGGTGTACCTAGGTAGAATGTTTACTAAAGATGAGAAAATGAATATAAAAATTTTTAAATGTGCAAATGCTGGTATAAAAATAATCAGTAGTATGTGGTCTGTTGTGAGAAAGCAATGTCAAAATATGTTAAAATGTATATGCAGAAAAATAAGCTAATGCCCCCTTTGTTATATGAATGTTAGAATTGGGTACATCAGGACAACATAAAAGTAAGTTGAATACATAGAAAGAAGTGTGTGTGGGAAAACAGGAAGAAACAGAGTCAGATATGAATGGCTGCTGAATGAGTGGGAATTGAATATAAAATTCAGTACAAAATAAGTACCCTTAAGTGGTTGGGTCATATAGATATAATGAATGGTGATCAAATGCAAAACAAATATATGAAAAAAGAATGCATGGGTCAAGGGGAAGGGGAAGACTGAGGAAGTTATGGTTGGATGGAGTTGATAAAATCCTGAGAAAAAGAAAGGTGATAGATAAAGAACAAAAGCAACATATAAACTTGTATGCTGGACATGATGGAAGCACAGAAGCAAAGATAGAAAGATATGGTGTTATGAATGATGTTAATAATGGTGATAAACTAGTTTTAGCTATGTTTCCTTTTCTTTTTCTTATTTCATGTTTTTCATTCGTTTGCATTACTTTATCCAACTCATTTTTAGCATTCTGCATAATGTTGCTTATCTTGAATGGGAATAATGTGCTAGGTATGTATGTGTGATCCTAATCTACTTGCCAAATCTGGCTCATTCCATCTGCTGCTTGCCCACTTCTCCACAGACCGGACCAATATGGACTTGCAAAACAATTTGCAAACTGCAAAGCAATTTGACTGACAGGTGAAACAAATTTCTTTTGGAAGTATTATATACACTTCAGGGAATCTGGCAAACAAAGGATTAGGTAGCATGTTGGTGCAAGGATTTGGTTTGGAGATTCATATGAATTTCTGAATAAAATTTAATCATCAAACCAACTTGAACTGTTTTACAAATCACCCCAAAACAAACTCAGAATGAAAGGTACGGTTTTTCCGCTTGTCAGTTTGAAGGAGCATGAGTTGGTTCATGTCAGTATACAGTGATCTCAGTGAACTGAGGCCAGTTATGTTGAGGGACAATGGCAGGTCAGATTGGAACTGTGTTTGAGGGTTGGTGAGTAGAAATGTTGGCTATATGGAAGGCTCCTGATTCACATATAGCTGACTGCAGTTTGGATTTGGGTTTACCTAATAATGAGGTGAAGTACTGAAACACTTATTTTAGGACAGGGGTCCCCAAACTGTTCAGTTCATTGACCCCTTCATGAAGTTTCAGATTGTTCATCAACCCCCAAACATTTATTATATGAA